CACTACTTTAACTTCTTCAGAGATGGTATGTGGGGAAATAATTCTGAGAAATTATTCTTGTTCAGAAGGTAGACAGTGTAATAAAAGCTGTAGCTGGGTCAGCAGGTAATCTAGGAAGAGGGAAATGCTAAAGCATTCATACCATCATTGTGTTAGGCGCAACAGCAAGGACTGTGACTAAAAAGATGTTTCATTCAGAGAAGGCCTCTTCAGTCCTCCTCCAGAACAATGGACAGCTCAGAAAGTGTTCGATTTAATTAGTTGTGTAAGTAGAAAGAGACAGTCATCTGTTTCCATGGAGTCAAATGCATCATTGGCATATTTCTCCATGGATACAGAGATGGGAAAACAGAAAATGCTAAAGTGAATGAATTCAATGAGCAGTTGGTGAACAAAGATCCAGGAAAATAATTCATCAGTAGTATTATGACACTAGTTTAGAAAAGAGAAACAGCACATATGTAGTGATCATCAAACGTGGTATGTAAAAAGATGTTTAAAATAGACTGAAATTTAAGATCAAACAAAACATATTTTAGCATGAACATACACAGGCTGGGAAATGCCACGGAATAAAGGTGTGGCTGCATGCACAGAAAACACAACGGCACAGTGCCTAAGAGAGCAGCAGTGTCCTTCAGCCAGCACTGACTCAGGAGTTCTTTGGACACGGTGGTAGAAAACACAGGGCTCAATTGTCACTCGCAATGCTTTCCAGTTCTGAAGATTTTTCTTTTGGACATATTAAATTATAGGAAAGTTTCAAGTTTTATAATGAAATGTTTCAGTTAGTTTATATGAATGAACTAGTGTGCCTTTACTTTACAGAATACCCGCAGTTTGTTTGCTTTGAAAGATTGTAATTTCTATTAAAACAATAAAGAAGTCATTTCACATAGTTCTTTTTTTTCTTGAGGAACTTTGATTCAAGTTTTCCCCTCTTCAGGGAATTTTACTCAATCTGTTTCTCAATTAAGTTTAATTCAACTCAATTCACTTTTAGTCCTGGCCTTCAAGGTATTCATAAGACTACTGGGAAGGGAAGATAATTAAATAAGAGTTATAATATTTACTCATTTCTTCAACAAACAGTTCTCACATGCTTACTGTGTGTCAAGTATTATGCTGAAAATGGTACTGAGTGACTCAGCCTGCTCTTCAAGAAGTCAGTAGATTACGAGGAACAGAAAGACATTAAAATAGTCACTCACACGAATATAGTTATACAGTCTCTTGAAGGAAGCCTATGGAGTGCCAAGAGAGAATACGATGAGGAGACAAAACTGAGATTGGATTGTTGGAGCAGTTCTTTTTGAAGAAGCAGCCTTATGATACAGAACATGGAGGTGGTTAAGAGTCAGACAGCTGGGCGGTGGTGGCGCACAACTTTAATCCCAGCACTCGGGAGGCAGAGGCAGGGGGATCTCTGTGAGTATGGCCAGCCTGGTCTACAGAGCGAGTTTCAGAAGAGGCTCCAAAGCTACAGAGAAACCCTGTCTCGAAAAACCCAAAGGGGGGAGGGGAGACAAGACAATAGCAGGTGAAAGCCCTATAATGGAAAAGGGCTTGGAGGTTGGAGAAACTGAAAGGAAGCACGTTTTTCTAGGAAACAAGTTGTGCGAGGTAAGGCTGGAGGAGAAAGCGGTACAAGCAGCCTTTTAAATGTTGTTTCAAGTATAATGACAAGACACAAAAGTGTTTATAGCCAGGAAAGACTGTATAGCCTTTTTTTTTTCAGCTTGCACAGAGCTTTAACATTCAGTGAAAATTCAAAAGGGGCTAAAAACAACAGTATGATTATTATAAAGTCAAGATGGGCTTAGGGGTATAACATGTACAAAATCCCGGATTTCACTCGCAAAAACAGAAAAGAAGGAAGAAAGGGAAAGGAGGAGGCACTAAAGGAACAGGCTTACAACCCCAGCCTGTAGGAAAGAGAGGATCAGGAGCTCAAGGTCATCCTCAGCTACAAACAGAGTTTGAGGTCAGCCTGGGCTAAAGGAGATGCTGTCTCAAGCAAACACAGGCAAGATAATAAGTGACTTGGCATAGTGATGACGTAGTATTCTTTAACTTAGATGGAGGTTAATGGGTATTTGCTTTGTATTTGTGTAAGTTGTACATATAAGTTATATGTATTTCTTTGTATATATGTACCAAAATAAGGGGCATATGCATCTTCTGTGTTTTTCAACATGGAAGAAAGGATTAAGGTGAAAAAGTGAGGCTAATGGATGCAGATGCCTGGTGAAGCTCAGCTCTGGTGACACAATGACAATTGCTACCACTCATTCTTTTATTTTGCTTCTTTGCAACTATGTACTCTGGGTTTTCATTAACACATGAAACTACCCAGGGAAAGACTGGTTCTTCAGCCTCCTTTGTGCTAGGGTGTGGCTCTGCCCTTAATTTTAGTCTACCTCCTTAGCCACAGATTATTTCCTTGCACTCTCTCTGACAAGTGGGCCTTGACTGCAAAGGCAGTTAACTGCCTTCTATCCAGCAAGCAAACCTCACAAATGCTAAGTCTGAGGAGTGGAGCATCTCCCGTTGATTCTGTGGAGAGATTCCTATTCTCCCCAGGCTGCCCACATGTGCACCTTTTGACTGTTGTGCTGAGTTGAGCCATTGCTGTGGAAGTTTAGCTGTGCATCAGTGTACTTGTGAGGGAAAGCTGAGAGGCACAAATGTATGTACAGGCAAACGAAAGGGCAGGAGGGCATTTCTAAATACAAACAGCAGCAGAGCATGTGTAAGTGCTACTGGGGAATTTTCTATCATGAGAATGGACAAAAGGTTGAAGATGTTATTAGAGGGTTAAACAAAGTAGAGTAAACTCCTGGAGAAGAAGGATTGACAAAACATAGACCTTGTCAAGAAGAACTGGCCTCTGACAGGAAGCTGAATATTTTCCATTTTGTCAGAAAAAAAGAGAACAAACACAAATATATGGAGATTTGTAGGTATTATTCTCTAGGGATCATACAGAGTTATCTGAGAGAAGAAGGAGGAGAAATTGGGAGCCAGGCTTTCAGCATACAAGGAAGGTACCAAGCACTCACAATGGAAAACTGTGGTATGATGATAGATGGTTAGGTGCAAAGTGATTATTTGAAGTAGGGACCAAGAATTGACATATTATAAATCTTCAAGCTATGTCTGATTGTTCTGGGGTTGCCAGGGTACATAAATTAAGTCCATCCAGAGTGGAAGCATGATAGCCAGTGAAACAAAACGTGAGCAAAAAAGTGAATTTTTCCAAAAGAAAAAGGCAATTTATTTTATTCTTAAAGAAGAGGTTTGTTTGTTTGTTTGTTTGTTTTTTAGTAGAAAACAAAGCAAAATGGTGGCAGGCAAAAGCCAGGGAGCAAAACGTACAGAGGAAAGCATCAAAGAATAGAAAAACCCTTGAGGTTTAAAAAAGGTTACAGTTCACAGGTTCATGGACAATGTGGGAATGTAGGACAAAAAAAAGTTCTAAAGGAACAAGTATGAAAGTTCAAGTAGTTTTGATTCACTGCTCATTATCACTCATGAAGTCATCAAACACTGGGATGTTTAAATATTACAAATAATTATTTTCATTTTATTTGTTCTTCGAAAATTGTGACTATGTGGGTGGGTTGGAAGTTTTGACAATATTGGAAAGTTTTTGTTTTAGCCATTTTGGCCTTAATTCTGTTAATTGTTCATTTTTTTCTCTAGAACTTCTGGACTTCTAAACCATAAATACATATAAATGACAGAGAAACACACTGAATATATTTTTTTAAAGATTTATTTATTATGTACACAGTGTTCTGCCTGCACATATGTCAGCTCACCAGAAGAGGGCACCAGATCTCACTGTAGATAGTTGTGAGCCACCATGTGGTTGCTGGGAATTGAATTCAGGACCTCTGAAAGAGCAAGCAGTGCTCTTAACCTCTGAGCCATCTCTCCAGGCCCCACACTGAATAATTTTAAATCATCAAAAGTTATTTATAAACTTAATGCCTTGAGTTAGTAAAGCATTAAGTTTGTACTTAATGCTTTATATTATATAGTAAATTTATGAGGTAACTTTATATCTCATTCTAATCCATATTCTGAGCCTTTAGGATTTAAGTTCTTTCTTGTCCAAGCACAGGAATAAAATGTAACTACTAATATAATTTTGTTAAATTGGTAGTTTCTTTTGTTTTGTTTCTTTTCCTTTTCCTTTCTTCCTTCCTTCCTTTCTTTCTTTCTTTTTTTTTGAGACAGGGTTTCTCTGTGTAGCTTTTGGAGGCTGTCCTGGAACTCCCTCTGTAGACCAGCCTGGCCTCAAACTCACAGAGATCCACTTGCCTCTGCCTCCCGAGTGCTGGGATTAAAGGCCCATTAAACTGTTTAATCACATGTAAATTTAAATCGTCAACAAACTCTCTTAGGACAGAGTTGTTTTCATTCACTCGCTATTCTTTGATATCTCTGTGTGTGTGTGTGTGTGTAACCATGTGTGTGTGTGTAACCATGTATGTGTGTGTAACCGTGTGTGTGTAACCATGTGTGTGTGTAACCATGTGTATGTGTGTGTGTGTGTGTGGTCAGCATGGACTGGGCGTCATCTTCAGCTGTTCTCTACCCTCTCCCTTGAAAAAAATTGCATTTATGTATTCATTTTGTTTGCGTGTATGTGTACATATGTGTATGTGTATGGTGTATATGTCATGATACCCCCGTGGCAGTCAGAAGAAAACCTGCGTGAGTTGGGTCTCAGAGAGCTAAGGCAGGCTCACAGGCTTGGCAGCGAGTGCCTTTACTTGCTGGGCTATGTCACAGGCACAGAACCTTGAGCTCATGAGTTCAGCCAGGCTGAGCAGTCAATGGGCTCTAAAGATCTTCCTGGCTGTCTGAGTCAGCACTGGGGTTACAGGTGTCCCACGCTGGCTTTTGCACGGGTGCTAAGTGGCAGACACTTTACAGAATGAACCATCTCCCCAGGCTATTACAGCATCCAGTTTACAGGGTCGACTTACCAACAATGAGTCTCTGAAGAGCACCCTTATCTCCATTCACTGCTGCAGCATGAACCTGCGATGCTAATGAGGATCCAGAGGAGAGCACATTCTCTGAAATGTTCATCGTTTTCTCTACAGCACGGTGACCTGAAACAGCGATTGAGACAATGAGTACGCACAAAACACTTCTGAAACCTGCCTTATCAGTGCCAAGTAGGTAGCTTGTAAACGTGATGTATTATAAACATTTAAATAGGATTTAACTATTAACTCGGATGACATGGCAAAGTAGATGGCCTTTTTACTACTTGCTTAACTGTAGAATGAGAATTTTCTCAAGAAATGAGAAGACATTTACATTAGGCACAGAATTTAAAAGTCACACTAACTTCTATGCAGTTGGAAGTTTTTCTCCCAGCTGCCAGTTCCCAATAACCAGTCAGAGGCTTAACATTTATTATAATTGTTTGGCCAATGGCTCAGGCATATTACTAACTAGCTCTCACAACCGAATTAACCCATTTCTATCACTTTGTATTTTACCACAGAGCTCGTGACTTATTACCTCACGTCTTGTTTCCCCTGGAAATGACATGGTATCTCCCCAACTCTGCCTTCTTTCTCTGTCTGCTTGGATTTCCTGCCTGGCTCTATTCTGCTTGGCCATTGGCTAAATCAGCTTTATTTATCAACCAACAGAAGCAGCACATATTTTCAGCATACACAAGGGCATCCTACATCACTTCTAAGATTAATGTAGGTAGTGTGATCCCACACAGTTCCTGTTGAGATCAGACTGCGTTCTGCTTTAAGTCACTCCACATTGGGAAAAACAGTGGTTTTTCTCAGCCCACGCCTTGCTCCAAGAGACTCCAGTTCACGAAAAGCTTTTGAATTGTTTTGAGGGTAGAAGATGACTGTGATCCTGGGTGGAAGTGAACACTAGCTCCTGACCAGCACCATCCTTGCAGCAGAGTGGTAAGTGACTGTGCAGAGTCATGAGGCATCAGAGAAGGTGCCAAACTATCAACTTTTGACGGTGTACTGAGACCATGGAAGCATATAAAAATAATACAAAGGAAACCAGCCCCAAGGACTTACTGGGCATGCCAGATTGAGGGCGGGTTATAACTTCCTCATCTGGACCACATCAAGTGGAAGACCTAGCAACGCAATGGCAATGGCCCTCACCAACTTATCTTCTGAGACCTAGTATGTGCATCAAGGACTGACAGGCACAGCTCTCAACTCTCCTTGAGGCTTCAGCTCAGCTGGGTCCCTGGCTGTTGACATAGCCTACTTGACTGCAATCTGCCCACCCTCCTGCTTGCTTGTCTGGACCCGAGCCCACTGTTTCTGCTCCAATTTGATTTTGCTCTTGTCTCTGCAGCTGACTGTATCTTTGCCCTCCACCCCGAAGACCTTGTGGCCTGATGCAAACAGCTTGGTGTTGTCACTTATGAGGACAGACTCTACTTGAATTTGTTATCATCCTCCTTCTGAAAACTCTTGCACTCTGCCATAGCTTAGGTTGTATTGATTCTGTAAACAACATATATGCATATTTACTGTGTGTTGTTTAATGTGAGTAATTGAGTTTAATATGAACAACTGAGATTAGAATAAAGCAATCTGCAGTTGTCTTGGCCAGATTACCAAAGTAGGTGGGATTATCTGGCAAAGAGCTACCACTGAAATGGTTGTATCTTGTGACTTTACTGTCATTCACTAAAATCTGGTATCGTAAAAGACATAAAATGCTTGCCTATGTTTCTGACATAGCCCTTGCACAACTGACAAGGATTACTGAACTGTTCTTATTTAGAAAATATCACCTTATGGCAAAGGTTAGCTTTTCATTGCTTTGATTGGCTGACAATGTGAGCTAACATGCTGGCAGAAAATGGGGAGGATGACGTTGCCAGGCTCTTCCGTTTTGTCTGAGCATTTCTGTCAGGTTAGAACAAAGACTGTTATATGCAGATCATTCCCAAGTCACTTGAGAGAAGCTAAGAAACAAGGATCGAGGCAAACCACAGTAGGAAACTACATTCAAGTTCCTGGTCCAGCTGTGCTAGTGATCAGCTGTGCGTCTTCAGACCGCCCCAGCTCTTTAGATTTCAGTAAACACGAACAACTGAGAGGGCTGACTATGTTCCTTTATTTAACAAGTAAGGTGCCAACTATTCTAGACGTCAATCTCAATTATAAAACATCATTTTGGATCTAGAATGAACAGTTTTAGGTGTGCCAGACCACAAAAAAAGTTATTTGAATTACCTTGAAAACTGTCAAAATAGTTACATCTATTTCTATAAATAGCTATATGTGCTTAACCGTAATCTTAGTAGTTGCCACATTAATATACAGCTGGTGCTAAGTGAATGTTTGGATGAAATGTCATAGGGTGAGTACTAAGTCCAAAGGGTAAGTCAGATCAAATTTTAACTGAGTAATGAGGATTTCTTTTTCTGTTTTCTTTTCTTTTCTTGCCTCCCTTTCCTTATTTTTTTCAAGACAAGGTCTCAAAACTTAGAGACCAGGTTGCCTGGGAACTTACTATGTAGCCCATGGAAGCTTTAAAGCCCCAACCCTTCTGCCTCAGCCTCCCAAGTGCTGACAACACAGGCAGGCACCACCACAGCCAATCAATGAATCTCCCATTTATCTAAACTTGGGCTCTGTCAGAGAATGAGATGCTAAGAACACTACATTAAGAAATAGTGAATTTAAGAGTCGTGGCTCTACTATACTTTAATTTTGAAACCCTGGGAAAGCCATTCCTCTAGGGTTCTTTTTTAACAGAAATGTTATTCTCCTTGCTTCTCCCCCAATAAATAATTTTTATAGATAGAAATCAAAGTCGCTTTGTTAGTGCTATAAAATGTAAACGCCTCATCATCATTAAATCATTATAAAAACAAGCTCGTGCAATAAATATTCTAATTAGTGCTGTGCAAAAGTAGTGGTTGCTGAGCTCACACACAAAGAAAAGGCAATTCTGGTAAGGCCAAGGGGATAGATGTCAGCAGACGTGGTGAGACTTGAGATGGTCCTCCAGAAAGAGAAAGGGTAAGGTCATCACCTTTGGCAGCGGGAAAGCCGAAGCGAAGGCTGAGTTTAGGGAGAAGCACAAATGCAGAGTGCCTCCTGGGTGCTAGGTGAGTGATGCTCTGGCTAATCTCCCCATCCAGAAGATTCTAGAAAGCTACCAGACTCCGGGTTAATCTGTAAATACACCATAAGAGGTGGTCACCGTCAGGCACTGCGCCTTACAGTTTACAACACGCGTGCCCACCCCTTCCCTCTTCCTTTCTCGGGCCCTCAGAAGCAACCCTGGACAAGTCACTGGCTGAAGCCCCGGGGCCGGCTCTCCTTATACAAGGGAGGAAGTTGTGCAGAAAGAAGAGGGGCTAGGCTGCGAGGCCGGGGATGCAGGCTCGGGCCACACCTCAGCCCAGGCGGGCCAAGGACCTGAACTGCAGCAGCGGCCGGCCGGGGCGGTGCTCGCCAGCCTTGCCCGAGCCGCCCGTGCCAGACCGCTTCCTACTCACCCTCGCCTCCAGGACTGGCCCCCGGGTTGGCACCAGGAGGCACGACCCCCGCAGGGCCGCCCCTCCCGCCAAGTCAGGCCACTGCGCCCGCAGGGACAGACCCCAGGGCGGCAGAGTCAGGGAGCTCGCAAAAACCAGCCCGGGGCGCTCGGCCGCGGAGCCCTCTGGGAATTGTAGTTCCCCTCCCCGCGAGGCGCCGACGCTCGAGGCCCCCTTCCAATCCCGAAGAGCCCCGCGCGCCGATGGCTGGCCCCGTCCCGGGCTCAGGGCCTACCGGGAAGGAGAGTTCCAGCTCTCAGATGACGTGGGCAAAGGGAGCAGTATGAGACTACATTTCCCGAAGTGCCCCGAGGTGGGCAGGACCCGGAAGTGAGGGCGTGCGAGGCCTCTCTGGAAGTTGTCCCGGGTGTTCGCCGCTGGAGCTCCGGGTCGAGAGGACGAGGTGCCGCTGCCGCCGGCCCCCGGAGCCCAGCCCTTTCCTAGCCCGGTCCACGTCCAGCCGCCACCTCCTGACCCCGCCGCGCACCCCACCGTTACCATGAACCCCGCCGCCTTCCTGTCTCTACCCGACCTCAGATGCTCGCTGCTGCTCCTGGTGAGTCCACGTAGGGATGCCCGACCCCCGGCGGCGTCCCTGAGCGCCTCCCGCCCTCCGCGACGGGCGGCGGTGCCCGCCCTGCTCGCCCCCACTCTCCTCCGCTGGCCGGCCCGGCGTGCACCGCCCGGAGCCGCCTTCGGTTTCGCCCGTTCTTTCGGCTTCTCAGGCCCGCGCCCCACGCGGCCTGCGGATCCCCAGCCGGGGGTCGGGACCCGCGGAAAGGAAAGCTTCGCCTCCGGGGGCTGATACGAGGGTGGTCGCGGCGGAGGCCCCCGCCCCCCGGGAGTACGTTGCCGTCTTGTGGACGGCGAGGACCTGCTCGGGGCGCCGGAATCCTAAGGGCCCGAGGGGGACGCCGAAGGTCGTCTTCCACCCTGGGAGGGACGGGTGCGAGGCCGGCAGGTGCTGGGGTCGTGCGAACCTCCGTCTGGATCCTCCAAACAGTCCGGCGGAGCCCTGTGTTGTGGCTGCCTGCGATTGGTTGGGAACCCGGAACTGGAGAGTGGTTTGGTGTGTCCCGGGAGATGAGGAGTTTGGAAAGGTGTGATTATCTGACAGGCTCTTCTAGGGCCTCCTGCGAGCCCCGTTGCCGCCTTTCTCCCTCACTGAAGCGTGGTCTTTCTGTCCTCGCTCCTGGCTTGAGAGTCACCGGCTCTCCTGCATGTACACATGTGCCCAGTGCCTCCCAGCCCGCTGGGCATCGTCCCATCTTAGAAAAGAGTCTTTATCCAGTTTCTCGTCCCCCGAAGTGTGCCCTCAGTGTGTGACTTAAGTGGCCTCCTCTTAAGATCAGCTTGCTAGAAAAGTGAAGGTGTAAATCCATATGGGAAGACGAGAGTAGTTTAGTTGAGCTGTTACGATGCAGTATTTGAAAATACTTGAATTGTGGTGGTTTCTTAGAAAGCTAAATTTATTGAATATAAATTACTTTCTTCACAGCTTAAGAATAATTAACTTGCAAGAAGCTGGATGGTTGGCTACAGGCAAGACTGAGTCTAGAAATAGATTTCTTAATTTGTAGTGTGTATTCCACAGTATCACATAAAAAGTTCAGCGTTTGTGCTTGAGATGCTTTTCATTCTCATTATGACTTGAAAGCCATTTAAAGAACTATATACAATACTTTGTTCTTTTCAAAATAGTGTAAGCTAAATGAAATGAAAATACTTCTGAAGACTAAAGTTGTGTATAAACAAGGCAATATTAAATGATCGAATGTCTTATTAGCACTTTTAAGTATACTGCAGTAAATTTACTTCTTTATAGAAGAACTTTCCCTCTCTCCTTCCCCTCCTGTGTGTGTGTGTGTGAGTGTGTGTGAGTGTGTGTGAGTGTGTGTGAGTAGGTGTGTGAGTGTGTGTAGGTGTGTGTGAGTGTGTGTGAGTGTGTGTAGGTGTGTGTGCGTGTGTGAGAGTGTGTGTAGGTGTGTGTGAGTGTGTGTGTGCGTGTGAGTGTGTGTATGTGTGTGTGTGCGTGTGTGTGCGTGTGTGTGTGTGTGTGTGTGTGTAGTTGTATTATGTACTGTGGCATCTTCTAGAAATGTTAGAGGCCATATGCTTCTTAAGGACACTATTTACTAATCTTTTCCTCATCATAAAAAGTTGTATGTTAGAAATTATTTTTAGGTGACCCGAAAAGTTCACAGGTTAAAATTCTGAAGATATTGAAAAGTTGAAACATCAAGTAGGAAAATGATGTCAATAGAGCCAAGATTAAGAATGAGAACATTTATTTTGAAATATCTTACACTTTTTTTCCTAGAGAATCTATCAATCATGTTATATAACCAAATGATGATTTCTTCTCAAATAAAGCCTGTATTTTACTGAATAAACTCTAGGTAAAAATATGTTGTGTATTCATCCCTAAGCAAAGGCAGAAGAGAGGATTGGGAACATAGAAGCCATGTTAGAGAACTTCTGTAAAGATTAATGGACTGGAAAACAAAGCCTCCAAAAAGTGTTCATAAACCAGAAGTACAAGTCAAACTAGATTCAGTTTGAACACAGTGTTTACTTACTCCGTTCTAATAATCTAATATTAGTTTAGCACATATTCATAAAACATCTGCCCAATCTCTCAGCAGTGAGTAGCTTGTCCGACTGCTAAGAGTCATCATGATGGAACCTGCTTACTCAGTGTCCCACCTGTGTAATGAGTAATCCCCTGGGCTTCCTTCAGGCTTGATGACTTTCACAGACAGGGACAGCTCCACTTCTCTCTCGACTGGGGTCATCAGTTTTCCTTGAAGTAGTTGGACACCCATACATTTTTTTTTTACTACAGTAATAGGCACTCTGGACCGCATTCTTAAAGAGCTACTAATACCTACTTAAAGTTTTAGGGATTGTACAATAATAGCTGAAATCATAACACTGAATTTCAGGAGGCAAGTGGCTATCTTTTCTCCCAATCAGAAAAGTATTCTAGAAAATATCACTCCATGCCTTAAAAGCCTTTTTGCATGGGTTACTAACCACAGACACTCAGTATGGTAACTCTTCCATTATGTGTTAATTGAACCTCTTCTACTTTGTGTCTGAGATAGGTTGATTGAGAATTGAAATAGGTGAAATAGGTCCTTTGGTGACCATATTCTCTCTGCACTGGTTTGTGTGAGACGAGAGAGATGGCCAAATCGGAATGAACTTGTGTCAGATAACCTAAGTAAACTCTTGTGCTTTAGAGACTTTTAACCCTTTATTCCAGTTTTATTGACGATGTTCTCTCACTAATCTCTCGAGCAGTATGCTCAGAGAGTCTAGGCTCTTACTCGCTCTGACAGTCCTGTGCTCGTGTAGGTTAGTACTTTCGCTGTTGTTGCTCTTGGGTTTTGATTTGTTGTTGTTTTTTCTGTAAGTGTAGGAAGCCAAGAAAATATTACCTAGTTTAGGAAGCAAAATTCCAGAGCTAAGTTAACAGTTGTATAATCGGCTGAATATATTTTTAAGATTTTTTTTAAGTGTCAGTTTTAATCATTAATGCCAACAATACAGACAATGTTCAGTCTTCAAAAGAGTACCACTAGAAGCATGTAATTAGAATCATAGTAGGTGGGTTATTTATCCTTTTTACTTGTCCCATATCAATGGCTTACACTGTGGGGCTACTCTTTAAAATCACTTGGGACAATTTTAATAAAATGCAGTTCATTAGTATTCTGGGTTCTGTTCTCGGTCTCACAACAAACAGACAAATAAACAGTAACACAAAGTTGCCTGGGCTGTATACCAGTTATACCTCATAGTGCCCAGACATTAGTTTAATTTTCCCCCAAACACTATTATTACACCTATACATTTATTCAGATATTACTTGGCTTTTGAATATTCTTTATTGTGTCTGCTTTTTTTTTTTTTTTTTTTTTTGGTTTTACGAGACGGGGTTTCTCTGTTTTGGAGGCTGTCAGTCCAGCCTGGCCTCAAACTCACAGAGATCCGCCTGCCTCTGCCTCCCGAGTGCTGGGATTAAAGGCGTGCGCCACCAACGCCCGGCTATTGTGTCTGCTTTTAAAGAACTGATTGATCAAATTGGAATCATATAAGTTCTGGACATGCTAGTTGGTTTGTGTCTCCTATAACTTTTGATGCCTGGAATTGAACTCAGGGCCTTGAGCATTGTAAGCACACACTGTATTACTAAGCAGCTACCAGCCCAAGATGTTTAAAGTCTGTTGTTTCCTCTCCTGTCTCATTTCCCTTTCTTGGTAATTTCTTTAGGAACTGTGTTGTAAAGGATCTCACACTCTTGTAATCGCTGATGGTAGCCTCTTGATGTGGCTTTTATGTTTTTCTGTTGCTTGTATTTACTAGTAGAAATCTATAGTTCAATTTTTGTGGTTTTTCAACCATCAACCCAATATGCATTGCTAATTTTGCTTATTTATCTTTCAAATTTAGTTTTTGAAAACTTACTATTTACCTCATGATCATATGAAATTTATGATCTTCAAAGCCAACCAAATTGTGTTAAGTAATTCTGATTTCTTCATCTCTCTTCTACTCTTACCAACCTCCTAATGTAAGAAGAGTTAGTATTCTTTCTTTTTTTTTAACTTTTATGGCCATTTTTAAAAATTAGTGCTAAGTGTTTGCTTTACTCTTTTGTATGTATGTATGTTTTTCTAGTTTGATTAAACTATATATGTTATTCATACCTTTTTCACCTTAAAATGATAAAAATACCCTTTCAGTTTAAAGTTTTATATTTTACTTAGATGTAACTACTCCACATTGTGTGTGTGTGTGTGTGCGTGTGCACGCACATGTGTGTGTGCGACCAGAAGGCCAAGGCGATGGCTTCAGATGTTGTCCTTACATGATGTCTATCTTTTTTTTCGAGACAGGGTCTCTCATTTGTTGGAACTCACTGGTAACTTAGGCTGTCCGGCCGTGGAGCCCTAGTGTCCACCTTCCCAATGTTGGAATTATATGATTGTACTGACATGCCTGACTTTTAAACTTTAATTTAGTTTAAAGAATTTTAATTCTTTGACAGTTGCATATATGTGTATAGTATGTTCCAGTCATTTCTACCCATATTATCCACTCTCATCTCCTGTCCTTTTTCTGCTGAAACCCATCTTCTTAGTTTCCTTTCAACTATCATGCCTTTAA